GCCTCTCACCTGCAGGTGCGAAAGTACCTGCTGATGCTGGATGTGAGGAAAGACCATGTGAAGTTCTTGAGGCCTCAGATCCTGCTGATGGTTTCAAACCCCCGCAGCAGCGTCGGCCTCATCACCTTCATCAACGACATCAAAAAGAGCGGCCTTTACGTGCTCGGACACGTCCAGCTGGGAGATCTCAGTAAGGAAGTCACATTTTTAACATCACTCCTGACAATGACCAAATACTCTTTATCTTTGTTCCAAACTGTGGACACAACAGTAGTGAGTCCTGGTCTCTGTGTCGATCAATGTGCAACCAATCAGGGCTGATCCAACGCCAACACCGTCGACTGCAGATGTACTTATCTACAGCACAACAGATAAAGTAAATTACACTTTGTAACCTAAGTATTTCTTTGTCTTACATAAAAAAATCTTGAATCGACTAGTTTGAAATCAGTCATCTGTCGCTGAAATCCAAAGAACGACAAACGAAGGCTAAATATCTGGACCATGTAACCAGTGTCTGGTTTGAGCTGATGCTGACAAAAAAAAAATAGTTTGAGTCTTTCTTTTTCTAATTCCATTTACATTTATTCATCATTTACAAAACATTACATTTTTTTTCTAATAGAGTTTGAGTTGTTGGACTTCATAAAAGTCTTGAAAGTATTTTCTGTGTCTGGTACTGTTTCCTTCTGCATTTATACTGGGTCATTTCAGATAATGTATATTTGCATGTCCAGTTTGGACTATGGGATGTTCTAAATGTAAATTTGCATTTATTTTATTTTATTTTTTGCTCCAACTTGGGCCGTCTCCTGTGGCCTTGTTCAGACTGTGTCTGAGTGAAACACCGAACCGTGATCCGCTCAGTGTGAGAGCAGTGATTAATTATAAGAAAAGACACCAGGGAAGATTATGGGATGTAATTGTAGCTCAAAAGCAATTTGCCCTCCTGCTCTTTAATACCAAAAGTAATATTACTACTGAAGGATTGTCATTCTGGTGGGAGAAAAAAAATTCCATAATTTAACGGCAGTGTGCAGTGTATGTTAGATTGTCCTCCATGTCTTTGTCTCAGCCGCTGCAGTTGAACACTGAGGAAGGTAATCGTGCACACAATGCACCGCAGACGTCTCCCCCACTCCACTTGTTTAAAGGAGCGGAATCATTGATTGGTTTCTTTGTCTTTGGACTCCTTTGTGTCTTGATGGGACACTGGGACCGGTTCTGAATGGAGTGGGCTCAATCCAGGACCTGCGGTGGAAAACTGATATGGTCATTAGCCTCCGAAGGGCCCTCCTCTTACTGAACGAGCCACTCGGTGCTGAGGCTTATGAAGGAGTCATTCATTCATGTAATTATATTGAAGAGGAGTGTGGCGTTCAGGACTGCCAGCTACTTTCACAGTTTCCTGCTAATGTACTTTCTGATCATTTATTTATTCCCTCCATTGTCTAGCTGCTGTTTTACCTTAAAGCCCGGTACGAAGATTTCATGGCGTTGTTATGGAGACGCATCATGTGTGTCCTCCAATGAACCCATTTTATTAAGAGCTAACACTTAATATAACAGTCCACTCTCCTCTGGAACACTGGTAATTACCTGATAATAAAAGTAACCTTTTCTCTCTTTACAAAGACTTTAGAGAAAATAATTTAAATACAAATTTAATTGACAACATGTGGAAAATTAACAGATACATTTTTCAGTCATTGAATCAGGGGTCACCTGATTTACCGTACCTGTTGGGTGGACCCCAACTGAGGTGAAAAATGACAACTGTGACTGTGTTCAACCTAAATGGTCAGACAACGTTATCGTACCATTAAAGAGACTTTATTGCAGTGCTCATCAACTGGCGGCTCGGGGGCCGTCTGTGGCCTGCTAAACCAAACTTTTTTTCTGGGGACACATATTTTAAAAGTCACAAACCCCAAGTCAATAGACCTTATTTGTGAGACGACTCAAAAAAAAAAAAAATCTCTTGCGACCCACCTGACGGTCACTACCCAGTCTTTAGGAAACAATGTGCTAAACTATGGCTGAGGTGTTTAACTTTTTCACCTCACAGCAGTAACTTGAATACTTAGACATAGATTTCCAGTCTCTGTGTGGATTTTCTCTTTTTCTCCCCGTGTCTGTAGATTTTCTCATGTCCTCCGGTTTCATTCGCTCTAAATTGACCGTAGGTTTTAGACTCATTGTAAACGGCTGTTTGTCTCAATATGTGTCCGTCTGATGGAGTGTGGAACTGTCCACGACGTCCCCCTCATGACCCTGAAAAGAATCAAGTGATTGAAGTGAGAGCAGTCAGTGTAGTTGCCCCTGCACCTCACAGAGCTGCTCACCCCCCCCACCAAGCAACCATATCTGCTCAGCGCCCTTGTAAGATTGCACCCTCGTCAGTGACATCCATTCTTTTCCAATTGTTTTATTCTTTATTCACTTTTTTCTGTGCGATAAAATGAATTCAATTTGCTTCATGTTTTTAAACGACGTGTTCCGTCGTCGTCAAAGCCAAGATCAATTTGTTTTGTACAGTTCGTCCTCCAGCGTCCAAGCTTCCACCTACAGTATATGTCACTCGACACATACTGGCGATGGTCGTAATAGAATAGAGCTTGACAGACGGGCGCTAACGCGATGGTTTCCCTCAGTCACAGTAAATATGCGGAGATATTTTAAATGATTGATCACCTGCTCTCCCCTGCTCACACGTGTCTCTCTCTCTCCGTCTCATGTGCTGTCATTTCTCCAACGTCTTTTGTGTCTTCTACCGCTCTGCCTCTGATCCAGCCCCTGTCATCCTGACATCTGCTGTCTCCGTTCACTTGTCTTTTGTTTTCTGCCTCTCACTGTCCTGACACTCATCATCTCTGACTGACTATCAGTGAATGCTCTTCTGCTGAGCTGACCGTCAACATTTCTCACCTTACGCCAATTTGTTTTTCCTGCAGACACCCTGCCGTCAGATCCGCTGCAGTCCCAGTACGACTCCTGGTTGTCTCTGGTCGACCACCTCAACATCAAAGCTTTCGTCAACCTGACTTTAGCTGATTCTGTACGTCATGGAGTCCAGCACTTGCTCTTCATCTCTGGACTCGGTCAGGAAGTCTTCAGTTCTCAACTCATATTTTTATTGTTTCTCATAAATCATTGTTGGTGAACCAGTGTGGGTCTGCTTAGAATTCAAATGGGGTCAGCTGAAGCTGTCTAGTCATTGATAAATGGAAAGTTACTGATAAATATTTTTTTTATCTAATTATCTAAAAAGAATCATGATTAGGGATTTCTCTTTAATGGTTTCTCTTTCATTTAATTACTTTAGAACTTCCTCTATTTTCTTTAATCATCATAAACGTTTTAAAAATGTTACCAACATTTTTATCATTCTCTTGAAGTTATTCAACTCGTCAAATTAAAAAGTGTCAGTATTTAAACTTTTAATTTTTCTCTCTCTTCACCTTTTGATAAATCCATTTTTATAATTCTATGAATAGAAATAATTTGGATTTTGTTTAAAGACGAGACTTTTCTCCCACCAGAATAAAATATTTGTGAAGTTTCTCCTCTTCAGGAACTCTCACTGCCAACAAAAGAGACACAAAAAAAACTCAGTGTTTACGTTTTTGCTGGCTCTTTTCTGAAAACCACATCCTTAGGTAGAAAAAACAGAATCTCTGCAACTTTTGCCATTATTGATGAAGAAGACGGAGGGACGTTTCTCTATTTGTAGCTTATATTCTGTCTTTCATGCTGAATGTTGACTTTTATTTTCTGCTTCTCTCCAGGTGGGATGCGTCCAAACACCTTGGTCCTGGGATTCTACGATGACTGTCTTCCACAGGACACACTGGTGGATCCCACTCTCTCCACCAGTCAGATGTCTGATTCCTCAGGCCTTTGTCCAGAGCTGGAGCATCAACCTCCTCTCTTCCACTTTCCCTCCGCACGGGCGTCCAGCGACAGACAGGATCATGGGGAGTTGGGTGATGGGAAGGTTCTGGGCCCGCAGGAGTTCGTGGCCATTATCGCCGATGCGATGAAGATGCTAAAGAATGTGGTGCTAGCCCGCTACTTCAACACCTTCGACCGAGCGAAGGTGTTGTCTCCGTCTGCCTCCTCTTCATTTAAGGGTGCTGTGTATGTCGACGTTTGGCCGGTGAACCTCCTGCGTCCCGACAGCTGCAGTTACGTGGACACCTGCTCTCTGTTCCTGCTTCAGCTGGCCTGTATCCTGAACATGGTGAGAGCTTGGCGAAAAGCTACGCTGCGTATCTTCCTGTGTGTGGAGGACGGACGAAGTGTCAAAGGCTCAGAGGAGAAGCTGGATCAACTGCTGAAGGAGCTGAGAATTAAAGCTCAGATCTACCCCGTGTCCTGGGACCAGCAGGTGGCGCTGCACTGGCAGCGTCAAGGCAAGTGGGGCAAGAAGCAGCAGTTGCAATCCACCGAGACGAATAGTGAAGAGAAAAGGGCGAAAACAGACGAGGAGGACGAGATCGAGGATTACGTCAACAGCTTTCCCAGCAACACCACGCGGCTGTCCGACGAGTACTTGTCCGCCGTGAATAAACTGATCCTGGACCAGGCCGGGCCACCTCCTGCCGTGCGTTTCCTGTACTTGCCCCGCCCACCTGCGGACACACGGCGCTACTCGGTGTATTTACACCAGCTGGATCTGCTGACTAAGGACCTGGGCCCCACGCTGCTCATCCACGGAGTCACACCCGTTATAACCACTGATCTGTGATACGTCCCTGTCCTGAGGCGTTTGTCAAAGTGTCATATCAACAACACACACAAGGTGGCCTGCAAACATGGAGATGAAGCTTCACATTCCGTTCACTGCCTATAATCACAATTACTGCCAAGTGGAAACACACACGGACTTGAAGAAAACACATTTTACGGTACTCAACAAATTCTTGGACTCCATGCAGACCCAGAAAAAGAAGGAAAAGAAAATTTTTATTTACCACTCCAGGAATATCAGCTTCTCTCAGGTCTGAGAAATGTTGTAGAAGTAATCACCAAAAATACTTGAGTACGTATGTAACCGGTACATCTGATGTAAGTGGTTATTTTCATTTCCTTCTAAAAACAAGCCAATCCCAGTCTAGTGTATTTTAGACCGTATTCTGGACTTGAACACAACATGAAGAGCAGAAAATAGACAGGCTGAGGACAAGCATGACAAGGTAGATTTATTTTATACAGAATGTTGTCGTTGGTCTTTTTTTTTAGGCTGTTGCTAGGGATGTCCGATATTAACTTTTTGCCGATATCCGATATAGCAATATTTTCCAAACACTTAATTTCCGAGTCCAACATCAACCGATACCGATAAATGCAGCCATTTTGGTTAAAGGCAGAGGACACGTGTCATCGTAGGTATTGCGTTATCGGGTCTTCATTATCGAAGGAAAAAGCGATATTGATTCTTACCGATATTTCATAATTGTTCTAAGCCGATATTATGGGAAAACTCTGTTTGTGGCAAATTTCAAACCTTATTTTATTCCAAACTCCAGCAGATATAGTTGTCCCAAAAATCAGTGTTTCATTCTTACTGGAATCAAACGATCAAAGCCACACCTGAGTTGCTGTAAGAACTTCTGACGTATGAGTTTTTATTTAACATTTTAGCACAGTACGTGGGCAAATACACGTTTTAAAAAAACATGAATAACTGATTGAGTTCTCCTGAGTGCAGGCGTGATGTGTGAGTGAGGGCGAAGCACAATGGCAGGATGAAGGACACTTCATACAGTAGGTTTTAATCATGCATTAACCCAATCATCACACACTTTAACACACACTGTTCGAGGTCCTAACATTTTTGATATTCCTGTTTCAGGAGTGTAATTTACTAAGTTCCGTGGCTCCGCCCTGTTCTTTCATACTTTATAAAACTTCTCAAGGTGAGAAAATGAGATCGTTCTACCCTCATCTAATCTACTGTTCTGACCAAAGTGAAAGAGAAACTTGACATTGAGGTCATGTGCGTATTTGGCACATTAATGATGACTGGACATTTGAGTCCAGTGTCCACTGACCTGGAAATGACCAAAGCTTGTCATTGATGTTCTGACCACACCCTGTAGGGGTCTCCACAGCAGGTCGTCTGCCTCCATCTCCCCCCATCTCCTGCCTCACTACATCCACAGGCAACATCATCTTCATCTTCTCTTGCCTGGCAACTCCATCTCCAATATCTTTGGTCCAGTATTTTCAATATCTCTCCTCAGTTAATGACCAATGTCAACCTCACCTCCTCTGGTTCTGTCCATCCTGGTCACTCTCAGCAACGTTCTTACCTTCCTCCTCCCCCTCCTCCTCCTCCTCCTCCTCCTGTTTCCGTTCCTTCATTCCTTCCTGTAACTGTAGGTTCTAACTCCAGCCGTTTCCTCCTCTGCCGTCTTTCTGTGTTTTGTGTGTTCCTCACATCGATCATTCCGTTTTCATTGCCTTCACATCCAAAAGTGCCTCTGCTCAGACAGAGCAGCGGGATCTTTGACAGCTTCACACCGTGGAACAGTCTGTCGCAGTGAACTCTGCCATCCCGTTTCAAAAGCCTGGAACAAAGGAACCTGTCGAACAAGTTTTACAGAAACATTTTATTCCATGTATATATATGAAGGAAAAAAAAACATGTAATGTTTTATTTGAAGAAGTTTTTTCTTTTTAATTTTTTTAAAAAAAGTGCACTTTTTAAATTCCTCTGCCAAACAGTAGGTGGTGCAGCTTTTCAGAAACATCTTTAATCATGTTTACAGCACCAGTGTTGACTGTGATTATACACAATGTTTCATAGTGATGTCTAAATGTGATTACAGGTACTTTTTAATTGTATTAATCATTGTTATTAATGACCAAACTGACAAGACTAAAAACAGAAGCGTGGGTTTTATAATCTATTACACTCCATGCGATCTTTTTCTATGGTACTTCCATCACTCAATGTGACACTTGCGGTGTAGTTTTTTTTTAATGGTACCAACACACAGTCTGTGTTGGCCCCCCCCCCCCCCCAGCATGGTTTATTTATTTATGCTAGTGTGTTTTTATATGGGTTTTTGGGCTATTGTTGGTGGGGGGGGGGGGGGGGGGGGGGGGGGGTAACACTCATTCACCTTGTTTATCTCATGCACCCTCTAGTGGCCACTCCAGACAATCCAAATCAGTGTGTTTTCCACATTTCGATAAATAATTTAAAAAATTTGGAACTTCAATTTATTTG